TGTCAGCTCCTACCTGTGTTTACTGATGCACAGTAGGAAGACTATAAAGAGCCACTGAAATTTTATAAAGAAGGAAGTTATTGGTTAGTCAAACAGATACGCAGTAGAGTGGAACAATAACACAAAGAGAAACCGAGATGAGAAATTACATGGTCCCTGAAACAAATGAAAAAGTAGCAGCCTCAATCCCTTAGTAGCTTCAAGAAGAAAACTGAACTGGCAACAATACCAAAAAAAAAAAAAAAATCTAGTGTCTTAGTGGACCATAAGTTCATTATGAACTGACATTAGGTAATTGCTTAAAATGCTTACATAATCCTAAATTACATTTAAAAACAGGGTGTCTTGATCTTTTTAACTACTATTACCATTATACTCTCTGCTGGTTAGAATATATGTGGAATACTGAGTTCAAGTCTGGGTACAGTATTTCAAGACTGGATGGGTAAGAGACCTGGACAGAGACCTGGACATTCTATCATTTGAAGAATGACTAGAGACACTAGAAATATTTAATATTAAAAAGAGAAGATTTAGAGGGAACGTGACAACAGCCTTCAATTTTACATGAAGTACAGTCACCTAGAACAGGGAGTGCATTATTTGGACTTGGAACAACGGATATATGTTACAGGGAAGCAGTGTTTTGTTCAAGAAAATCAGTCCCCAATTAAAAAATGTCTGTTAAACATCAGGTACATAGCAACAGAAACTTTCTTCTCAGACATCAATAACAGCAATTTCTTACTCTCTTCTGGACTGTTAAAAACCTCACCTATTATCAAGTCTCATCTGCCACCACTGTAACTCTCTTGCAATAGAATCTGTAATGTCTTTTTAAGTTTTTATTTAAATTCCAGTTAACAGTGTAAAATTAGTTTCAGGTTTATAATTTAGTGATTCAACACTTCCATACAACAGCTGGTGCTCACAAGGGTATTCCTTAATCCCCATTACTTGAATCTAATGTCTTAATGAATATTGGGATAATAGAAACTATGAAAGAATACTGCATTTAAAGTGAGAAAACCTGGTTCTGCTAATTACTAGCAGTATGTGAATGTCTAATAAACCATAAAGTGCTATATAAATATAATATGCAAGAAAAAAAGAATGAAAAAGATAAGCCAGAGGGAAAAGAGAAGGAAAAAAACCCCAATAATGAAATATAAAGGAAAGCCCTGTCTCAACACTGTTCCTCCGTTCTCTTATTCATGCCTTGCTTGGTCCCACAGCCGTTATCCCAGTTCTACTTCCTTCCTGCTAAGAATCCTGTATGAGTTTCCTGTGGCTGCCTTGACAAAGTATCAAAAGCCACAAAGGTTTAGAACAACAGAAATTTATTGAAATCAAGATGTTGGCAGGGCCAGGCTCCCTCAGAAATCTATTAGGGGACAATCCTTTCTTATCTCTCCCTAGCTTCTGGTAGTCTGCTGACAATCCTTGGCATTCCTTGGCTTTCAGCTGCAGCACTTCAATCTCTGCCTCCATAGTCATATGGTATTCTTCATGTGTGTCCATGTCTTCACATAGCAGTCTCTGGGTCTTTTCTCTTATTAGGACACCCACTCCACTATGACCTCATTTTAACTTACATCTTAACTATACCTGCAAAAACCCTTATTTCCAAATAAAGTCGCATTCACAGGTACCACTGGTCAAGATGCAACATATCTTTTTTGAGGACACAAAACATCTTAGAAACTCACTGTTCCTCCCAAATCATTCTTACTCTTCCCTCTCTCTATATTCACATCACTCTTTCCTTACTCTCATTAGAGGCCTGTCCTTAAAGAGATGGGCCAGAAGGGCAATCTCCAACAGCTTGGAGTTAGAAAGGCCTGTTTCTACTGCCTAGAAGATTCCAAGGAAAGGACATTTTTGTTTCAGTTGCCGGGATTCAAAAAAAAAAAAAAAAAAAAATGCTATGGGGGAATCCTACTGAGAATTCTAGATGTAGTTTTTTACAGAGGAATTATTAAATTGTGGTGAAGATCTTTAAGTCCATTAAAGATTAAGATGTTACCAATTGGCATAATAACGGAAATGCCCTGAATAGCATTATTTATAATGAAAAAGGCATCAAGTTTCAAAAAATCTTAAAAAGTAATTTTCAAAATATATCCATTTATAAGTAAGGGATTACCTGTGTTATAAACAAATTGCTCAGGGTCCCTGGGTGGCCCAGCTGGTTAAGCATCCAACTCTTGGTTTCGGCTCGGGTGTGATCTCAGGGTCATGAGATTTAGCCCCGTTTCGGGCTCCACAATCAGCGCAGAGTCTGCTTAAGACTCCCTCTTCCTCTGCCCTTGCCCTCCCACACACACTCTCTCTCAAATAAATAAATCTTAAAAAAATTGCTTCCCACTCCCCATGTCCCTCTCTAGAAAACAATACATAAAAATAAAAATAAAAAACAAATTGCAAATATAACAGCAACAATGAAAACACTGCTCCTCAGTGGAGGCATCTTCAAGTAGAGGGTGAAGATGGTTTTAGGGAACTGAATAAAGAAAAAGGCCAAGTCAGTTTTTCTGACATTCGAGTCTGTGTATTCCGAGGATTTTTTTTAATTCTATATTTTTATTTTGATAACATTAAAAAATGTATGTTAATATTCTGGATCTACACATATACCTTATAAATGAGTGATGGCACACAATTCCATGCTGCATTTGCATTATGAAGGCCTAAAAGCCAAGAAATTCTCTAAAATGACAGTGCCTAATTTTTAATGTCTTGGAAGCATGTCTGGCTGCTCTTAGGCTGGCATATCCTAAAATCATAATGACAATCATGACTCCAGCACTCTTGTGTTCCTGTTGTGTTTTTTAATCAGTTATAAAGACAAAATTTATCTTTTGCAGTAACAATTTACAGTTGAATGATATCTGCATAATAAAAACCTTTTATTTGAAGAATTGAGACTTACATTCTAAAAACAACAGAGTGACAAAATAAAAATTATCTCAGGCTAAGGAGAAAATAATATTTAAAGATGTGTCTCTACCAAGTGGAAACCAAATGACACTATAATGTGTTGTATGAATAAAGGCTGCGCAACTGTTCAAACAGAAAAAAAAGGTGGAAGAATTAACTTCTCACATAGCACATGGTAATAGTCAATGCAAAATCAAAAGAATGCATTCTGTCTCATTATTTATATTATTGCAAAGGAATGTATTATGTTAATCCTTGCAACAGTTCATTAGCAGAAAGTTTCATAGGAAATACACAATGGAAATTAGATTGTTTCCACCCTTATATACTATTAAATTGGCCCATTAAATTAAATGAGAAGGGGGCATAGGAAGTGCTCACGAAGAGATGGGAACACATTTTATGGGAGAGCTATGGAACAAGAGAAGGCATAGAAGTGAGAACAAACTAGGGAAGGTAAACTAGCCTGATGAGATAGACTGGTCCACATTTGATGAATGAGAAGTTTTAGGGATAAGTACAATGACATTTTATAAAGAAGGCCTTGTGTAAATGAAATAATTAATGGATTGGATCAAATCGTTTTTCTATTTCAGTTCAACACATATTTTTCCAGGATTTACTATATGACAGCCAAAGTAGTAGACACTGGAGATACGAAGGCCAGTAAGAAAGGACCTCTATACTCAAGGGAGCCATAGTACAATGGGAAACACAGACATAAACAAATAAGTGCAATGAAGTGTAACCAGTGAATAATCTAAAAATGTACAAAGTTATTCAGACTTCTTAAAGGTTTGTGATTATCTCACCCTGGGTGAAGAAAAAATGCAGGCATCAGCCTATGTATTAGGAATTTCCTCTACATACTGTTACAATTATTTCTCTGGAAGAGAGGTCAAGGTCTATTTTATCCTCACTAGCTTTCCAGTGCCCAGCACAGTGCCTGGCATATAATTTTCCCTCAAATATTTGTTAAATAAATGAATGAATACTGAGCATGTTTTGGTTTAAACAACAGATAACTTTATATTCAGTAGGACCTAGGAAGAAGAATATTTTGATTACTAAACTATCTCCTTAATTAAGATAAAGCAGTTGAGCTGCTTTAATCTAATCTAATCCCCAACTTTCTGTCTGGGTCTTAGGAGGAAATAAACCAACGACAGATAAACCACCAGTTCTGATGTAATAACCTTGGAGGAGACAGAAGAATGAAGAACAAATATTGATATGACAGAGGAAAAGAAGAGATGTTTATGAAAAGCCTGAAGTCTGGTTACAGACTTCTTGTATTCTTGTTGGTGTTACAAATACTCTTTTATGGTGATGTTCTGAGACCCAACCCAATCCCTCTGACTTTCTCAGGATAGGAGCCTACCCCGTCAAGTCAACCACCTGTTCTACTTTGCATTAACCACCACATCACATCACATCATCTGGATTATTCCTGTGTGCCAACACACACATACAAACATCTAAGCTACTGAGAGTAGCGATCTCCTAGGTCTTGTTTCTAGCTATATCCCTTGAACTTAGAAGAGTCTCTAGCACATATTAGCTGTTCAATAAATATTTATTAAATATATGAGTGAGTCTGCTCTCAGCCACAGCTATTCAAAGGGAACACATGTCTCTGGGATCGAGGGTGGGACAATGGAGGTACAGGTAGTTGAGCGCAATTAATAAGAGAAAGAAAAGGACTTGACAATTGCTCATTTGTGGGGGTTACGGGAGAGGGAGATGTAAGACATTTACCAAAGAGTCTAGTACATGGTCAGAGTTTGTTAAATATTGGCCAGTTATAACAGTAAAATACAGGTCGACGCTGTGGAAATAGGTCTGGGTAGAGATACTGAGTCCCTATCCGAACTGAGGCAGAAGAGGAATGAAACAATGGGCGGTGAAGAAAGGGCACGCGGAGGTGTACAAACCCACGAAGGAGCACAGAAGTAGGTGAAGCACAAAGTGACGTCATCAAAACAAGGGCGCAGAGACTAGTTTTTAGAAGACTCAGATCTCAAGATTGAATCTCAAACGCTAAAAAAAGGTCCTGCAAAATGCGAATTGAAGGAAAGTTAACATTTCGCCCTCCTGTAACAACAACTTCAGTGACGCATTCTGACACTCTTTATCAGCGGCACAAAACGCAGTTCGCCAAAACTGAACCTGCCCGACAATTCGCACCGTCGACACCAGAGAAGCCCAAGTCACCCTTGCACTGCCTCCTCGCTCCACCCCAGCACCCTCTCGACCACCCCTCTGCCCTCCCTCCGCCGTCGTCTCCCCGCCTTCTGCCGAGCGCGCCCCGTTCCATTTACCTGTCCGTGCACCCCCTGAAAGCGCGTGGGCTCAGAACCGAGGGGCGCAAGTCTGAGCCGGGCCGCCGACTGCCCGCTCCCAGAGGAGGCTGGGACCGGACGCCACCGGCTTCCGCGTAAAGCGCCCCGCCCGCGCGCGGCCTCCTGGGAATGTGAGAGCTCCTCCAATGGGGAGTGGGCTGTGGGGCGGGGCCTGCTGCATTCCCAGCCCCGGCACTTCCCAGTAGCCGCACTGCATTCTGGGAGTGGTAGTCCAACTGGCATATCGCCCAGTCTGTCACACAGTCAATAACTTGTGGTAAACAACATCAAGCGCTGTTCCTCCGGCAAAAGGAAGGATGCAGGGCCACAAAGAGTTCACCAGCATTGAGTCGGTAGGGATAAATGAAGAGCGAAGCTTGCCGCGCCATCTCCGTGCTTAGTCTCAGAAGGTAACGTCTCCTGTTATTTCACAAAGTAGAATTCGTGTCACAGGAACTCTCTACTTTCGCCACGAAATTTCCTAACCTCCTTAGACCCCTGAACAATCCTTTCTCCCATTCTTTTGCAATAATAATAATAATAATAATAATAACCCCTCCTCCTTCTCCTCCTCTCATGTGATATAAGCTCCCCCCGCCCCGTGCCCTTTACATTCCTATTCCCTCTTGCCAACTGAGTCTAGCCCCACTGATGAACCCTTCTGTCTCATGACTCAAATGGCTCCCTGCTTACTCGCTGCTTATTATCAGCATTTAAAGATTGGCAGAATTGCTCTCATCTAAAACATTCCAAAGTCACCTTTCTCAATTTCACACCCCCCAAACCTGTCACCACACAAACTTAACCTGTAGTCTTTTTCCCACCTCTCTTTTCCAGTCAAAATTATCAACTGTGTTGCTAAAACAATTACCATACTTCAAACTTGCAGGATTTTATGTTGATTATTTTCCTCTTCTTTAAATCCTCTTAGTATGGGCCGCCTTGACAAAATATCACAAACTGGATGGCTTAAACAACAGAAATTCATTTCTTACAGTTCTGGAGGCTGGGAAGTTTCAGACAAGAATGCCGGTATGGTTGAGTTCTGGTGGGAACCTGCTTGCTGACTTGCAAACTGCTATCTTCTTGCTGTATCTTCACATGATGGAGAGATATCAGCTCTCACACATCTCTTATAAGGGCAGCAATCTCATTCATGAGGGCTCCACCCTCCTGGCCTAATTAACTCAGAAAGGCACCACCTCCAACTACCATCACATTGAGGAGCAGGACTCCAATATATAAATTGGGGGGAGGGACACAAACATTCACTTCATAGCACTTTCTATTCTTTTATCTCTAAGATGGTGCACATTCCTCATTCCCCTCCCACTTTTATGGCAGCTCCTCATTTTCCTTTGAAATGTTCACGATCCATAGTGCTCTGCCCTATGCTCACACGTTTCTTGGGTGATCTTACCATTCCCACTGATTTGGTTGTCATCTCTATGCTGAGGATTCCCACATATAGGAAGCCCAGAAAAGACTCCTGTAACCCAGACTGAAATATCTAATGACAGCTGGGCATCTCTTTCAAGCACTTAAAACTTAATGTAGTCCTCAGATGACCTAGTACATTTCTACTCTCCCCTCTCCCATAACCTGTTCTTCCTTCTCCTCTAATCCCACCTCAGTGAACAGCACAACCGTGCAATCAGTTGCTCACACCAGAAAGCTGGCTATCATTTCACTCCCTCAAAGTGCACATCCAAACAATCAGCAAGCCATATTAATTTTATCTCCTAAATACCTCACTTGTCAAGCTTCAGTTTTCTCATCTTTCAAATGAGGATAATAACAGCACCTGTCTTCAAGGGTTGTTGCAATGATTAATGAACAGTAGTGCCAGGCAGAGAGTAAGCACTTGAGGACAATAAGTATTTATCAAACAAGCACTGTGTTTGTCATTGGTTCTCCTTCATTTGGTCTTACATAACTATAACTAACATTTACTTTTATTTAGTTTATATTCAGGGAGAAAGAAAAGGAAAAATGGGAAATGGTGGGATAGTTTGTGCAAATTACCTCTACTCCATTCCTCTGTATTTTTCCAAGCATGTCAAAAATGTAGTACTGGTCATGAGGCACTATACACATGGTTCTAATCTAATATGTGCAGAATATACCATACCTTAGTTATTGTTATCGGCTCTGGGTGGGCTAGAGACAAATTGAAGTACATTAAGAGACTCATGACTACAATGATCAGGGCACTAGAAATCAGAAATAATGTCTGTACCTATAGTATCTCCTTCACCATCTCCCCACCCACCCCTTCTTGTCACTTGAGATTATTCTATTTAAAACAAAATCTGATCACTTTGAAATCCTACTTAAAACCTTCATTGGCTCCACATTATATAGAGGATAAGGTCTAAGATTCTTAACAGAGAATTCAAGGCCCTCCATGATCTGGCCTCCCTCTACCTCTCCTGCTTCATATTCTGTCTCTCTCACCAACACACTCTGTGTTCAACCCTGCTTCTCTGTGGTGGCATTCATTCATTCATCCATCCATCCATTCCTTCCACTAATATGTACTAAGTGTCTACTATGAACCAGGCCTATTATATATCCTGGAGATATAGCAGTGAAAAAGACAGACAATGCCCTTGCCTACATGGAGCTAACACTTCAGTACCATGCTCTTTCATGTCTCAACGCCTTTGCACATGCTGCCTCTCCTGTCTAAATCTTATTTATTTTTCAATGCCTATCTCAAATATCACTTCTTCATTTTACATCAAAGTATATGCTTCTTTTTTCACCTTTATCCACCGTCTGTAAGGGTTTAATTTTCGTATTAGTATTAATTTTATTCAGTACCTATTCTTTGTGAGAGGGAATAGTACCTTAGAGAATGAGTTTTGGAGCTAGACAGTCCTGAGTTAAGAGCTCTGTGAACCCTAAATGTTGCCTCAATTTAGAGATTTTAGGGCTCTATCAAAGCCTCTCTTCTTACTCCATGTTCTCTCCTAAAGTAACATATCTGTGCTCCAAAACTTGTATTTCTAGCAAAACCCTTTACATTGGGAAATCAGGGAAGGTCTCTCTCAGGAGGTAACATTTAAGCTGAAATCTGAATGACAAGAAGGAATCAGCCACAAGAAGATAAGAGAGAACAGAATTAAGCCAGAGTGACTGGAAGGTAGTAGAAGTGAGAGAAGAGTGGTAGGAGGAGAGATCACACCACGTTTCTTTCTGGTCTTTAAATATTGTGAGCTCCTTCCCATTTTATGATCTTTGCACCAGCTCTCTCTGCTTGGAGTTCTATTATGTCTTATCTTATGGCCAGAGGGTCTTGCAAGGCTGTGGAAGCCAGAAGGAATTTGGATTTTATTCTAAGTGTAACAGAAAATCTTTAGAGAGGTTAGAGCAGAGCAGTGATATGATCTGATGTAAGGTTTTTTTTTTTTTAAAAAAAAATTAGCTTTATTTAGCATGCCAATACACCATCTATCCTGGTAATAAATTAATATCTACAGTTTTAAAAATATGTTGGGTAGTTTCCAAGAAAAATACTTCTGGATGTGTATACTAATGTGCATACAGAACCATTTAAATAGGTGGCTTTATAATTTTATAGTTTTCAAATTCAGAAATTCTGTTACTAATTCATCAAGTTACTGAAGAATGGAATCTCTTTTTTATAATGCATGATTTTAGATAGTTTGAGCGTATGGAGTAAAGGCTTCAATTTCCATTTCAGTTCCTGCAGCTACCAAGCCTGGAATTATAGAACTGATGGTTTAGATAACCTAATCCAGTCTCCTAATTGTATACATTAGAAATCTTCTGGTCTTGAAAAGATTACAAAACTAAGAAACGATGGAGTCTGGATTACAAACCAGCTCCCATGTACTAGATGCTCCAGAAATGTCTGTTGGGCTAAAACAAGATACATATATTACACAGAGCTCTAATCCTATCTAGGAGACCCTGGTTTTACATTCCATTTAACAGGATTGGATCCTGATGTGTTATTTTGTGATTCACAAACAAATCCAGTGACTGTTGCGTTGGCATCAAAATCATGCACATTGTTGCATTCTATCACTGATCACCAGTGCTGTTTATGCTTCTTTTCTCCTGGATATTTGGCCTTGGGCAAATTTTCTTCTTGTTCTGTGTTCAGAATAGACCTGCCTCAAGAGTGCCTGTTCTCCTTTGAAATTCACAATCAGCAGAGGGAGCTAACACATTATCAATATCTACAAAATCATTGGCATTTGAGCATGAGAGAGTTCATTTTTTCTTTGTGGCTCAATTCCAGTCAGAGTCATCACTTATCCTGCTCTGTTTCTCTGAGCCATCAATGATTCCAACACCAGCTTTGGCAAAGCAATTCTGAGGTGTCTTTCCCACACAGCAATGAAATTTCTCATTATATCAAGAACATGCCATTTATTTACATCTGCAGTAGGACAATGCTTCTCATAATGTACCAAACACTTTCAGCATCCAGCTTTTGATGATTTATTGTTTCTCAGTCTAATAGCTACACATAGCCATGGTACTTGTAGGAAAAAAACCCTATAGACTTGTTTTAATTTAAACCTCCAGTGTCTATGTGCAACTATCAGTAATAGAATGTTTTCTGGTAAGCCATTTTTCTCTCTAATTGCAGGAGCCATTTCCCAAACAACCTACCAGATGTCAGTGCATTTTTGTTAACTTTATATACACACAGGAAATTTACATATACAAAGGGGGTTTTCAAATCTCCATATAAGTGAATCTAATTTCTTGCTTCTCCCAGCACTGTAACAAAGGAAAGTTGATGACCCATCTCTCTTTATATATTTATTTTTCTCCAGGACAACATTCTTCTGGCATAGTGTGCCTCTAGTTTGGTTGCAGATTATAGAGGTTCATTAGATGTACCCCATGAGCGCATCTACTCAGATTTGGCCTCTTATTTTCAAGACAATCTTCAGCAGTTACTTTAGAGATCCTTTATTTTTTAGGTGATGTGATATGATATTGTGAAAATGCTGGGA